GTTGAGGAACCCTGTTCTAGAGAGAACACAAAACCAGCAATTTTAAACAGATCCCACATAACCCTCATAAAGCAGGCGGCGCCAGCTTTAGTAATGGTTGCTATTGCTTTGATGATGATGATGATGATGATGATGATGATGATGATGATGGTGAGAGTCCATATAGTTAGATATACATTTAACTCCTGGGTCTTCTGAACTACTAATGCTGAAATCAATGTTTCTATTTACCAGTCCTGTAAACCAAATGAAAAAGAGAATCTTGCTCAGATTTTACATTTGTTTTAATAACTATACATTAATACCTTTGATTTAAGGGAGGCCCAAATATTTCTTAGACTTCTCATTAATGTGAGATTGTTTTCTGATAGCTGAAGAATATTTACCCAGAGAACATTTTCTCCATTTTAAGTAGCTTCTCTTCTGAAATTCATTCACTTGCCAATAATACTAGTGAGAATCTTGATTATTTTCCCCCTGAAAAGTTTTATCTACATGTTTATATTTCTATATTTTACATGTGATTTCCTTTTTAAAACTCAGCTATCTTATATCACCAGACTAGAAACTGGGAGACCATGAGTTATACTTTTGCCTTAGGCACAAAGCCAGCTGGGTGACCTTGGGCCAGTCTCTCTCTCTCAGCCCTAGGAAGCAGGCAAGGGCATATGAGATGGTCCACAGTGTTGAGGTCCAGTCTTGGTATCTGTGCCCAGTCCAGAATAATGTGCTATAAATGCCAAGGCCCCTCTTCTCACAGAGATAAGCCACAATTGACACATCCTGGAAATGTGTACATCCATAGCTGCTTGTAATGAGTGAAGAAGAAAATCAGCTTTCTTCTCTTTCTTCATTGGTTTATTCTGAAGCAGGTTGCCATCAACGTGGTTACATCAGTAAAATCAGAGCAGTAAAATAATGTAAAAAACACTAAGTATTTCAGCTGAAACAAAATCATAAATGCAGATTTAAAAAAAAGATGGTAATCCTTGCTAGGTTAGAGGGAAATAACAATGGAAAATGACTAGATTAAGTTACAGGCAATCTGTTTTTCCTATCTGAAACAGCACTGTTCTTGGGATATACTTCAGTCTTCATTAAAAAGATCCTGTTAGGTTGTAAAGCTTCCAAAGTATGTTTGACTGGGAGGTAGGGGTGGGGGAGAGAAAGATGCTGTTCAGTGAGGTCTTTCAGACATCAGAACTAGAAAGGAGGATGACACTAAGAAAACAGAGGGAAAATATAAGAGCTTCCTTTAAATATTTCACTGTAGTTCTGGGGCTGTGAAAGTTATTCTGGTGAGTCTCAGCTCAGATTAATCTACAATATGAAGGCTTTTCTAGCTATACTTGCAAAATCAACAGGCTCAGAGGCCTTTGTGGCATCAACATATAAGATGATGTTCTCCTGCAGGGAATAGCAACCACCTCAGCCCTTTGTAATGTTGCTAACATTTTCCTTTTTCTGAAGGTACACAGCTGCTGCTGGAGACCTGCCTCCGCAATGATGTCCAGTATTTTATTTATACCAGCAGCCTTGAGGTGGCAGGTCCAAACAACAGAGGAGATCCCATCTATGATGGTGATGAGGACACCATATATTGGATGACCCAAGGACCACCCTATGCTGAAACTAAAAAAGAGGCAGAGAAATGTGCATTGGAGTTGGACAGCTTGCCACTCAAGGGGGGCAATAGTTTTGTGACATGTGCTCTGAGGTCCATGTACATCTATGGAGAAGGCAGTCCTTTCCTGCTGCGTCACCTTGACGAAAGCATCTTAAACAACAATGTATTTTTGAGGCTGTCTAGGAAAGAGGCGCTTGTAAATCCTGTCTATGTGGGAAATATTGCTTGGGCTCATATTCAAGTGGCTAAAGCCATGAGAGACCCAACAAAAGTAAAGCAGGTCCGAGGGCGGTTCTACTACATCTCAGATGATACTCCCCATGCAAGCTACTCAGACTTCAATTATGAGCTGACTAAGGAGTTGGGGTTTGGCGTTGAACCCAAACCTGTGATGCCCGTCACACTTTTCTATTACTATGCTCTGTTCCTAGAGATCGTGAGCTTCTTGCTCAAGCCTTTCTTCAGATATGTTCCTAGTATCACTCGTTCCCTTGTACTGTTGCTCAACACCCCATTCAGTTTTTCTTACAGGAAAGCACAAAGGGATTTTAACTATAGTCCCCGCTACACATGGGAGGAAGCCAAGCATCATACATGCCAATGGATTGCTGAGATAACCCCACTGAGGGCAGCACACTTGAAAAGCAAGGCTACCTAAACGCCAGAACAGGAGCTAAAACAAAGGGAATGGGAGGGGGGCATCAGAGTATCAAAATGACTAAAATGGGAAAACATTGAAGTACCTGAGTAAACGAAAGAGAAAAATTCCTCTGTGTTGTATATACATTTGCCCCATTAAAATATCAAATGAGCCTCCCTCCTGACTGTTCGCCATTTCTCATGGGCCACTTTCAGTTCCTGTCAGCATTCAAAATCCCAACTCCAGAGTGCCCAAACTGTAGTGAGTTGTGAGAACATTCATTCTCCTATGGGAATGAACAGAGGAGCTGACAGGCCCAGTTTGTGGAGCACCTTTAAGCCCATAGAGTTTTGCACTCAGGCTGAATTAGTTCTACACACACCAGACATCATGGACAACCGTCCAAGGGCTTATGCTCACATCCCTCTAAACCTGGCCTGAACATGTTACGGTAACTGTTTTTATATGACTCATCCACATGACGTTGCCTTTATCTCATCCCCAGGCCACGGCTGAGGCAGCTTGAAGTCATTTTTATCTCTTCCAGTTTTAAAGCAGTGTTTTTCCTCTTCTCCTGAGGCAATATTTGCCAGGGACACAATCTAGTACAATGTTTGTGATGACGTGGCTGGCCATGGGTCAGCCCAGCTCTGAATCCCCACTTAGCTGGTTGTGGGAATGTTCCCTCTCGTCCAGTCACTGCACAGTCTCTTTCATAGTTGTAGAAGACATTGAATACCTGCTTTCTTCAGAGGCAGCTGCCTGTGTAATATTTGACCAGCATTTTCCAAACTGTTGTCTTGTGAAACACCACTAGGCCTCTCTTTAAAAAATAGGACTATTATAGTGCTCTCTTGAGCTATGCAAGAGAACAAGGACACAGGTAGAGCAGGAAAGTGCCTTCATCTTTCTCCATGCTGAGAAGAGTCTTACTTGCCAATGACAGCTCCTCACCCAGGAATCATTGCAATTCTGAGCCTGCTTTGGGGGGTTGGGGGTGCGGGGGGTCCCTCTGGACTCAGCTGCTAAGGGAGCAGCCATTGCCTGTCTGAGCAGCAATTCAGGCTGAAGCAAGAAAAAGTAATAGGGCACCCACATGCCCACCCACCTGTGGCAATACCCACTTTGGAGGAGGTGGGGTGGTGTAGTCCCTGGTGCTCCCCCTCTATGAGAGACCTCCTTTCCCTCTTGTAAGCTGCCCAGCTAGCAGAGCCAAGCTATCTCCTGCAGCTGACAGGAGGCAAAGAAGAGGAGTAGTTGCTTTCTTGGGGGATCAGGATCAAGTGCAATTTGGGGAGTACCCAGTCTGGCCAGTTGTGGTGACCACTATGATAACTCCTCTCCCTTCCTCTGGCCACCATGCAGCAGGCCTGTCCCCAGCTCCAAGGATCTCAGGGGCATCAGAGACCTGCTCTTCTGGGATGGGATGTGTCTACGAAGGGGAGCTGGTGTGATGGAATGCAGGAGAGACCCAGGTTCTCAGGAAGGAGGGGGCGCATTCTAGGAGGGAAAGGGGGGAGACAAGAGGCAACATAATCCAGAGCAGGAGTGTGGGAAGAAGAGACTTAAGATAGCCACTCCCTAGATTCTCCCAGGGTATATCTATTAGGTTAGCATAGTACAGATTTAGTCTGACAAGATTCTGTCCATATGGTGTAAACAATAAAGAACTGAACTTGGCTGGATTGCTTCCCTGTTGTTCCTGGGCTGGGCCTGACATCTTTCTGTTTGGGCTCAGGTTATCCCCAGGACTTCTATTGCCCTTCTGCAGAGGTTTCCTTTGAGATACAGGATGCAGGAGGCATGCTTGAGGAAATGCCCTGCTCTTTTGGAAAAGAGATCCTATTCTGTGGGATATCTTCAACTTGCCATACAATCAGCCCCAATCCTGCTGTCCTTTAGAAAGACTGTTAAGACCTGGCTGTTTCCCCAGGCCTTTGAGTCATGATGTGTTGGAGCCCCTATCAATGGTGTCATTTCTGTTTGGATCACCATTTTATTATTTATTGGTTTATGTTTTGGGGGGTTTACATTTTTTGTTATTGTTGTTAGGTTCTGCTGAATTTCCTATAAGCTGCTGAGCTGAGTTGGACAGAACGTTTTCAGTAAATGAACTAAAGCATACTCAGAGCAGCCCTGGACCCCTCGGAGAGAGACTTCTTCACTAAAGCCCTGAAGCCCTGAAAGAAGGGCAGCCCAGAGTTGCTATAAGTGCCCAACCTTTTTAAAAGTGAAAGTAAACTGGGAAATAGCTCTCTACACTTTGTACCTTTTAAAAAATATGCCTGATCTATTTTTGCCTGAAGACCTGAAAGTTGGGGAGAGATTGTCATGGAGAAAATCTATCAATGTGCTTGCTAAGAGTCGACACCAGCTTGGCGGCACATACTCAATTTTTGCCTGAGGGGCTGATGAATATTTTTAGATTTTTCATTTTAAAATACTTACAAAACTGTGCTGGGTACAAAAACTGTCCTGCCAAACTGGATAGAATAATGAAGCAGAATTTTGAGTAACTGCACATTCCTACTACAAAATCAGATCAAAGGTTAGTAACTCAGTTAATATTTTAGCAAAGAACTTGACTTGGAACTTTCTAAAAGAAAAGCAGAGTTCCATATTAATTATTGCCCTATGAATTGCCACAATCTTAATTCTTATAAGATTACTCTTAGATTGGCCCTTCCCTCAAAAAAACCTTTCAGCATATGCTTCACGTTGTTTTTCACTTGGCATTTCTTAGCAAGACATCTTATATTGATTTGATGGAAATCAATTAGCCCTTTCTCAACAGCTTCCTAGTGATTCTAATAAAGCTAAGTATACAATTCTTTCAATTACAATGGTATTCAAGATGCTATTACTGTATTCAGCATAAGGCACAGGAGGGTTCCCCTTCCAAGTTCTTGAGATATGTTGTAGATCATTGAAAATAGGTGAAGATTTTTAGATGTAATCGACTATCCCAGCAAAAATTCCCTCAACTCTTTATGGGCAGAAGTACAACCGTTTATGGGTTGTGCTTACAATTAAGAGGAATGACGAAATCACGGCTCTTGGCTTTTTCTTTCTTTTTACTCGAAATGCTTTGTAGAACCACATGGTTCTACGGGAAGCGCTACAAACGAGAAGCCACCTCTGCAAAGAAGTCAGTCCTTACTGCTGTGAGCGCTTAGGACATTTTGGTTTTCACATGAAGAGCTTCCAACATGACAGATCAAAAAGCATCACACCACCTAGTATGTAAATTAGCTACTTGTATCACTCTACTCTTGATTATTTAGGACATAGCCAAATTTTAATTTTCTGCTGAAGGCTTGTGAAAAAAAATTCCAGACATCCACACTGAATTTCAACCAAGAAAACAGTAAAGAAATTAAAGTTGGGATGACAAGTTATTTTAATGAGGGTTTTAAAAAAAAAAAAGCCAAAAAAAAGCCCTCCAAAACTGCTTCTCACTCTCCTCCAACCCACCCACTGACTTTGGCATACAGTATGGATATGAAAGGGGAATTTTTCCACCTGGAGATGAAAAGGGAGAGTTTTCAAAAGCACCATTTGAAATCAACTACGTAACACTGCAGAGTTTCTGTTACCACAAAAGAATACAAAACATGTTTCTTTCCCTGTCTGCTCTTCAGTCAATGGGTCTTAGCAACCTGTACCCTGCCTTTCTTAGATGATCAGACCTCTACCATCCAGCCCTGCTTCCTTGCTCCCCAGGGAAGCTCCATATCTTTCTGTGTGTACCTCACTTCTACAACTCCTGCTACCAGCAGGTCCATCCTGTTTGGACCACCTACAAATGTCTACATCAGTGCTGTCCAAACTTGGCCACTTTAAGATGAGTGGAATGGGGAATTCTGGGAGTTGAAGTCCACTCATCTTAAAGTGGCCAAGTTTGGACAACACTGATCTACATGTATGTTTTAAAAAACATGTATGTGCATCTAGGAATTAGAAAGACCAAGGTTCTCCACCACATGTACATGGGTTTATATCATTCATCTGCTAAAATGTGCTTTGGAAAACAATGATCTACCATCCAAAATCCGATTTGCTATTTGCACTGACAAACATGCAACCACCTAAGTGCTAGTCCCTGTTAACTACAGGGAAGAAGTATCCATTTGGCCTAGCAACTTCCATGACCAAGAAGCCAGTCCTCTCCTTGCCCTGTTATGCTACGTGAAGCCTGTGGTGTTGCACAAGGTGAGTCTTGTAATGGAAGTCTTTCCCACACTCAGCACACTTATAGAGTTTCTCCCCAACATGGGTTTTCCGGTGCCTTATGAGGTGCAAACTCTGTACAAAGCCTTTCCCACACTCAAAGCATATATAAGGCTTCTCACCGGTGTGGGTTCTCTGGTGCTGTGTCAAGGTTGAACAATCCCTGAAACTTTTCCCACACTCTCTGCATTCAAAGGGCTTCTCTCCTATGTGAGTTCTCTGGTGACTGACAAGATGAGTGTTTCGACTGAAGCATTTCCCACACTCAGGACAAAGGAATGGCTTCTCTCCTGAATGGATTCTCTTGTGCATAAAAAGGTGAGAGCTCACAGTGAAATTTTCCCCACATTCGCTACAGATATAGGGCTTCTCTCCTGTGTGAATTCGCTGATGTTTTATTAGGTCAGAATGCCAGCTAAAACTCTTGCTACATTCAGTGCATTTATGAGGCTTCTCTCCTATAGACGAGATCTCAGCTTGGGTACTAAGGGTTGTGTTTTCTTGGGCGGTCTCTCCACTTTTAGTGTAATTCGATGGTTCTAATCCCAAAGGAGTTCCAGTTGTGGGGATGAGATCTTGGAGGATCTCAAAGCCTTCTGATGGGTCAGCTGTTTCAACTTGTGGTTGATCAAAGCAACAGCCTGGCCTGTCCTGTTTCTCAGAGGCTTGCCCGGATAAAATCTCTTCCTGCACATTCTCTGAATCATCCCCTTCAAGAATATCCTGCTCATAGTCACTTGGGATTGCATAATTCCCTTGAAGAGAGAAACACCAGATAGGAAGGTTAAGAAAATAACATGATGTCCTTCAAGTGTCCAAAAGAAATGTTTTCTTAGTTGACTACAATTCGTTTCTTTTACTTTGAAAACACGTACACAATTAATGTATAAACAATGATAGAAAAGCTTGAAGGAATGAAGTCAATTTAGCTCCTCCTTTGAATTTTACTCCAGATAAACAACTGTTCCAGCAACTGTTCCAGCACCCTCAAGTTGAGCATATATTAAATAGCTGTATGAGAAAGGGACCCACTGCCCTAAAGGCAGGCACACTGCTCCTTTTGAAGCATATAAAGGGAAATTCCCAGGCACAATAAACGACCCCAAATGAAGAACTGTTGCAGCTCAAAACAGACTGGAATCTACATTGGGGGACTTAATGAATAGTGGTGTATAAAAAAATAATCCTGCGCCACTACCTTATCTGTTTTCTCCTATGTGTAAAGACATTATTTATTTTCACCAATAAAGTCTCTGCCAAATATTTGCAAACTAAGGAGGGGAAGGCAGGGCTCATCTTAAAGTACAGAGCCAAGGATAGAAGGGGGGGTCCTATCCTTTCCCTGCCTCTGCTTTTAACTCCTTCCCTAAGTAGCTTCTATCCCACCCGCCACCCCCCACCAATATGCCACATATCGAATTAATTGACAGAGAAGGAAAGATGGAAGAGAAAAGGAGATCTTGTATCTTTTGCATGTCATTTGCTCTTGTTGTCCTTGCAACAAGGGTCATAATTTCTACTCAGCTTTCACAACAAGGCAAAAATTGGACTCCTTTCCATTCAACCCCTCCTACCTTTCCTACCAGAAAAGCTAGGGGGGAAGGATGTGTTGCTGGTGCCTCCACCAAAGGTTCACTAAGATCTACCACCATACCATCCTACCATATTCTCCAAAGGAAACTGCAGTTGCCAGACAACCCACTCCCAAAAGCATAGAAAGGGGAAGTAAGAGAAAATGGTTACAGTAGGGTGGTCAGTAAACTTGCCCTTAAGGATGAACAGACCCCCCACCATACATAAGGTAGGAACAGCAGTACTGTATTAGGTGGAAATCACTTTTTTGAAAAAAATGGATAAATGAATCTCTCACCTATGATCTCATAGGAGATTTCTCTCTCTGAAGAGTCTGGGAGCGCAGAGGGGCACAACCCCTCTTCTGGTTCCATCCACAGATGTCAGCTCAGCAATCCTACTTATAGCAAGACAGATGTGGTCATGTAGATTGCTATTGCAACAACTTAAAACAGCTTTCAAATAACATGCACACGCACACACACACACACACACACAATCTTTCCATATTAAAATAATGGTTTGTGCAACTATATATGCAAGGTTGGGCAACCTCTGGCCCTACAGAGTTCCTGAAGTGCAACTTCCAGCATCCTTCACTATTAGGTATTGATAGATCATTGTTAATGATCCATAGAAATAATTATTCCACAACCTCTGGAGAACTAGATTCCCATTACTGGGATCTGGGAGATCACAATTTACTTTCCCCATTCCCTTAATTTTACTCTTTAATTGAAAACATACAGAGAATTTATAATGTGTTAAGATAAGGGCCCAGAAATGGTAAGAAGCTCTCTTAGGATAGCAATGAGCATGAAACTGAGCCAACTCAGGGAGGCAGTGAAGGACAGGAAGGCCTGGCG